GCAGCCGGTTACCTGGTGCCTGTTAAGGGAGTTTAGTAATGGGTGTGGGGCCTCCTACAGACTGAGGGCATATTTTCCAACTCTGAGTTGCTTCTTTGCCATTCAGTGGGATCTGATATGTAGCAAGAAAGGCTGAGATCTGCAGTGATGAGGACAAATATCTTTTGCAGAGACCTTGGCACTCGGTTGCTTTCCTGGGATGGCTGAGCCATAACATGAGAATTTTAGAGCATGCCAGGATCTTAGGGATCATTGCATCCCCTCTCATCTTATGGGTGTGCTTCTTAGCTGCAGCCTAGAGAAGGGAGACACTTTTCCAGGGTTTTAGCAAAGTCAGGTCTAGAACCCAGGTGAGCCAGGCCACAGGGGGCGTGGCCCAAGATGTGGGCACCTTTGTTCCCCAGGGGAAGTAGGTGGGGCAGTAAAAGGGAGGTGTTTGTCTATTCAGGTGACGGGTCCAAATTGTAAAGCCCATTGTTTGAAATCCAAGGACCAGATGCTGCAAGCTGAAAGAATTTTCCTAGATGCCTCGGGTAGGACAGGTAGCCTACTTTCCTGCTCCCAGGCTGCATCAGATGAGAGCCTGGGGCTTCCCTGGTGGCGCAGTGGTTAAGAATCCGCCTGCCAATGCAGGGGACATGGGTTTGAGCCCTGGACCGGGAAGATCCCACATGCTGTGGAGCAACTAAGCCCGTGTGCCACAACTAATGAGCCTGCACTCTACAGCCCGCGAGCCACAACTACTGAGCCCGCGCCCTATAGAGCCCATGCTCTGCAACAAGAGAAGCCACCGCAAAGAGAAGTCCGCGCACCGCAACGAAGAGTAGCCCTCGCTCACCGCAACTAGAGAAAGCCCGCGCACAGCAACAAAGAACCAAAGTAGCCAAAAATAAATAAGTAAATAAATAAATAAAAAGAGAACCTGGTACTTTTCCTAAACGGTCCCAGCAAAGGCTGCATTCAGGGTGAGGACGGGGGAGGCGAGCCACCGCGGTCTCCCACGTCATCCCGGCTTTGTGACTCTCATGACACACCAATTGTTTAATGCAGCTATTTTGGCCTGATGACTCTGGGGCCCAAGATTACCTGTCTGGACCCTTCTCCCTTCTTTCTCCTTTTTCCTCTTCTCATCAGTACTGGCCTAACTCAGAGTCTGAGATACAAGCTGCTTACTTCTCCTAGTACCTAATCCGCTCTACACCCTTTCCTTTCATTGCCTTCTACCTCCCTTCCCCAGTTTCAGCCAGGTATACAGTCTTTGATCAGTGGTTTCTTGAACCTGGGTTACCCTTCCCCCATCCCTTCTGGTTGAAACTCTTGACCTTCTTTAAGCCTCACTCAAATGCCACCTCCTTCATGAAGCCTTCCATGCACCCTTGTTATAGATTAATAGCTCTGGGCTTCTTCTGCTTAGCATTCCCCCACCCCAAATTCATGTCTACCTGGGACCTCAGAATGTGACCTTATTTGGAAATAGGATCTTTGGAGATGTAATTAGTTAAGGATCTCAAGATGAGGTCATACTGGATTTAGCGTGGGCTCTAAATCCAATGACTGGTGTCCTTATGAGAAGATGAGAGGATGCACAGACACACAGAGAGACAGAGAAGACAGCCACATGAAGGTGGAGGCAGAGATAGGAGTGACACTGCCACAAGCCAAGGGACGCCAGCCAGGAGCCACCAGGAGTTGGAAGGGGCAAGCAAGCATTCTCCCATAGAGTCTTCGGAGGGAGTGGGGCCCTGCCAACACCTTGATTTCAGATTTCTGGCCTCCAGAACTGTGAGAGAATACATTTCTATTGCTGCAAGCCACCAAGTTAGTGGTCATTTGTTATGGCGGCCACAGGAAGCTAATACACACTATAATTTGTGCCTTGACTGTAAGCACCTGGCCACGTCTCTGCCCCTCTCCAGGCCCAGAGGTGCATCGAACACCTGATAGGCATCTCAGGTAGGTTTGCTGGACTAGGTTTCTCAGAGATGGTTGTCAAGGGATAGTTGTGCCTCAGCCTGCCCCAGTGCCAGGGTGGGAAGGGTATGGGATTTGCTGAATGGATGTGATGGAGAATAGGGTTCACAAATTTACGTGAAGGGCTAATTCCTGGCAAGCTGCTTTAGGAACAGGGCTACAGACCCATGGACTGTAAATTCAATAATAGCAAAGCAGGTGCAACTCAGAGCCCGTTCTTATACTGGCTCCCTGAAATGGGTCCCCGAGTCCTGGCTCTACCCCTTCTCCATGGAGGGATTGGGCCCTAGTGTGTTGCCCCTGCCTCTATGGTCCTACAGTCATGGCTCAGGGCTCTAGTCCAGCCACTTGCCTCCTACTGGACCAGAGGCTGGAACAGCCCCTGGAAATACTTCCAAACAAACAGTACACTCTCTCCTCCAGGGGACTCCTGCTAAAAACACGTCAAGGTCAAAGACTGGAGGCGAGGCCTGCCACTAGCCTGCCGGGAGCCTTGTTGGGGATGGGGTGAGCCCAAGCTCTATGAATGCTTTCGTGGAAGGAAATCCAGGAGGACATAGAAAATCTAAAAGGATTGTAGTGGGCAATGAGCATGACTGGCCTTTCCCGGGTTAACCTTGTACATGGTGGCTAAGCAGAGTTATCTCCAGGTAGGGAACTTACAACTCCTGGCACCTTTGTGTTCCTTTAAGAAAAACCCTCATTGGGGTCACCTTTGCAGCCTAAGGTGCACTACTGCTCACAAATATTGCCAAATCCTGTTTGACTCAAGGTCGTTATGGGAAACTGGGTTGTCACTCCCCCCAAGAGTAAACTCTCTTGGACATGCCTGCTATTTGCAAAGACTCCTCCCTTCTTTCTCTTTAGGGGGCCTTTCCCCTCAGGTCCAGCCTGCACTTCCAGCAAGGGGAGGAGAGTCAGCCCCGTCCACCAAGGTCACCTGTCTAACACTGCTCCCCAGCTCTCTCCAGCTGCTCCAGGACCACCCTGAGCCCACCATCCACACAACTCTCTCAGCCATCTCCTCCAAAGTCCCCACTCCACAACACACGGCCGGCCCTTTGTCCCCAAGCCCACCAGCCCCCAAACGCTCCCAGCTCTGAGAGTTGTCCCAAGGTCCTCTCACTGGGCCCCAGATGGACTCAGGCAAGAAACCTTGATTGCAAATTCCCCACTGTGACAGCAAGCGCAAAGCTCATTAAAAAGTAGCCCCAGTAATTGGTCAGATGATTGTGAGTTATAGGGAGGGCTCTTGGGCATCCTGACTGGTCCGAGCACTGAACCTAGGGTGAATGGCACTGGAAGTTCCATAGGCCCCATGGTTCCTGTTTCTGGTGACCAGATACCAATTTAAGACATATTTCTCATTGGCCCTGGATTTATTCTTTGGAAGAAGATATCTATTCCAAGTTAGGTGGGGCATGGTTCCCAGTGAAGGGACTTACAGGGTGCCGCTCTACCCCCTCCACCCCCCAATGCCATATACTTCTTTCAATTTAGGCTTGTTTATAGTCAGTCAAGTTTTTCCAGATTGACTGAAAGAGTTCTTCATATGCCTACTGCAGCCAGTTACAAGAGCAGTGAAAGAGACCCAGGACTTGGGCCAGCTGGAAGAGTCAGAAGAAAGTTTCTGTGGGATGCAGACCGCTAAGGAATGACAATCACATGCGATTGTCCCAAACCCTGCATCCTTCTGCAAGGGCACCCTCACCTGCCACGCCTCCACAAAGGGGGCATCACCTCAAGGAAACGAAACTGCTGAGAAGAACTTTTGCTTCTCCTTTTTCCGTGTGTCCAAGGGTTAAAAACACTTCCAAACTCCCCTTCCAACTGCAAGGTCAAGCAGCTGTCCAAACCACCCAAGGAGAAGCAGGAGCCCAGGACAGCCGACCCCAGCTAGCTCAGCCTTGATAGCCGCCAACCTACAGCTGCTCCCCCCGCACCCCCCACCCCCAGACACCGCCTGGGGAAGGAAGAGTTAATCGGCAACCGGCTTTGGCTGATGGTTCACGCTCCAAAGTTCAGTCCCAGTCAGAGCCACCCCGGAGGGATTGTAAATCTCAGGGCAGTATTTAACAAAACAAAAGCAACCTGGAATTACATGCAGGTTTGGTTTTCTACAGTACATATTTACTTAATCCCCTAGGTATGTGGCTCCATGTCAGATCAGCTGGCTTTGCTGGCCCTTTCACCCCCTCGCTCACAACAGTTTAAATTTCAATCTAATTCCCTGTTTTTGCTCTTCCTCTTCACAGGGCTGGCTGGAGACAGCCAGCCTCAAATCTCTCTCTCTATTGCTCTAGTCACTGGGTGAGTCAGCCCGGCTTGGGTCGGAGCTGGGTGACAGCTGGCTCACCCTCCACACTCTTGGGCACCAGGTCTGGGATAAGTGGGGGAAGAGGTGCTGGGTCTACCAAAAAGTTAAAGGCAGAGCTTGGGTGCTGGGGAGGTGGGGTTGCACCACCTCGCCCCTTAGTGGGGAGGGATCCCCTCTGGGGCTGTATTGGGGGGGTCGGGCGGAGGCAGCATTGAAGTGAGAACAAGGGCTCTTTATCAGCTGCTGGTTACCCTTGTCCCCTCTTTCCAGATTTCCAAACACCTGGGCCTCCGAGCGCCTATCAGGCTAGGCTAGACATCCACCACCGTTTTTTCCTTTTCAAACCCAAACCAAGTATCCCCTCTTTTCTTGCCTCCAGAGCTGCAGCCGCCCAGGTTGGGGCTGGGAAGCGGGTTGCCAAGGAAAATATGAAGCGCCAGCTAACAGGCGGCTCCCAGCTCTACCCAGGAGCGCACACACCCTTCACTCCCCAGGGTGGCGGCAAAAGAGGGAAAGACGAGAGGGAAAACACGACACCTTCCTCTGGGAGGGAGGAATGTCGGAAAGCCGGGGGGGGGTCTGCTAAGTTTCGGGCTGGGGGTGAACAGCCAGCCACAGATCCCAGAGGAGCGGGCCAGTTCCGTACCTGCCAAAAAAGACAGTCGGGTGCCCGGGAAATGTACAAGGTGAAACTGACTAGCTCAGCACTCACGGGTGGCGCAGAGAAGTAGGGTGGCCGGCGACTTTCAGACCCTGGGCGCGGGTTCCGGCAGCGGCAGCAGGTGGGCGCACCCCCTGTCCCCGCGGTCCCCCTAGCCTTTGGCCCCCATCCCCTGGAGTCGCGGTGTCCCGGTACCTTTCTGGCGCCGCGTTCCGCGAACTCGCGAGCGAGCTGGCGCCCGATGCCTCTCCCGCCGCCGGTGATAAGGACGTTCTCCCGAGACAGGTCCCGCAGCTTGGCGGGCAGCACCAGTCCGACGGCAGCCTTCACCACCAGATAGATCATCTGCAGAGGGAACACCACCAGCGCGCCCAGCCATTTCCACACCATCCTCCGCGCCGCGGAGCCGGGCAGGGGTGGGGGGGGCGAAACTCCCCGGACCGCACAAAACAGGACTTAAAAAAGAAAACACCCCCAAACAATAATAAATACACCGAATAAGGGGCAGAGAGGCGTCCCACCTGGCCACTCTTGAAATCACCTCTTCCCAAATGCAAAGCAAGCACCGGGTGAGAAAAAGGGCGGGGGGGGGGGGGGGGGGGGGGGGGTGGGTGAGATAAATCCTCGGGAGGAGAAAAAGCGTCTCAGAAGGTTGGGACAGTAAGAGGGGTGGAGGGGAAGCCGGAGGTGGAAAGTTCTAACAAGAACTTTCGTGCCCCAGCAGCCGTTTCGGCTGGGGAATTCTCAGGTAATGTTTACAGGCTGACAGAGGAGTTTAGGCAGGGGAAGAAAAAAAAAAAAAAAAAAAGCACCAACCACAAGCGCGCCCCCCGCTAACATCCCCCGGTTTCAAAGTGCAAGATTTAAAAAAAAAAAAAAAAAAAGCTGTTTCCAAATTGGAGCGCCTCCCCCCTTCTCCAGGAAAAAAAAAAAAAGTAGGGGGGAAAAGTGCTTGGAGCTCCCAATTTCAGCCCGCGAAAGTCTCCCGACTCATTGCTATTCTTGGGCTCAGGAAATTGCTTAAACGCGATCTGATTGCCAGCAACGTGCAGGAGAAGTGGGGGGTCCGGGTGTCAGTTTCTTTACGTGCATGGCTCGCCCTCGCGCGCGCCCGCTCTCTTCGGCTCCCTCCCTCCCTCTCTCTTCCAGCAGAGGCTGGGAGTTGCCGCTCGATCCGGCTCCCTCTCTCTCCCTTGTTAGCATTTATTGCCTTCTTTTTGTCCTTTCCAACTTGGAGAGGGCCCGGGTGCGGAGCGCGCGTGGATCGGACGCCCTGGTCTGCGCCGCCCTATCCATTCGCTCCCGGGGCAGCCGCGGCTGGCTGGGAGCGAAAGGGCGGCCCTTTCTTCCCCCCATTTTTTTTTAATACCCCATTAAGTCTGATTGACAGTTAAAGTTGTTCCGAGGCTTCACTACCGTTCCTCTGAGTGGCTGCCGCGAGCTCCCCTCCCCCTGCGCAGTGGCGGGGTGCGCGCGCGGGCGCGCACACGGGCTCGCTGCGACTCCGCTCTCCCGGGGCCGGCTTCCCTCGCTGCAAGCCGGGGCTTGCCGGCGGTATCCCTGAGGGCTCGCCGCCGTAACTCGCACACGCTGGAACCGACTCCTGCGAACCGGCTCACTCCTCGAGACATTCCTCCTGGTTCGGGACGCGGTCTCCCCGAGCAGGGGAGCCTGCGGGCCAGGTGACCGGCCCTGCATGCGGTGCAGGCCCGGGAGAGCTCGCGCTTGTCTTGATCCATCAGGTCGCCCAGGGTTTATTTCAGGTCATTTTATCATTCCCTGCCTCCATAGGACCAGGGAGCCACTTCTGACCCTTGCCCAGACTCCTCCAGTTTTCACTTAGAGCGCACTTTCTAAGTCTGCCCCGAGTCCCTCACGTTGCTGGGGGGAAACAGCTGGGAGCAGGGTTTTGCTTTGAGGGGTGGGGGTGTGGGGGCAGGGTAAAGGAACCTCTGCCCCCAGAGTGCCAATAAAATCCCCGAACGATTAGCTGGGAGCATATTTATTGCTCATCTGGGCTAGAATTACCTTGACTGACAGCAATTTCCTTAATAACAAACGCCTGTAAACAAAACGTGCTAAACCCACGCGCCCCCCTCCCCCCCTTGCTGTATAGGCAGCAGCTCCTCTCTTTGGGTCTCCCTGGGCTGCTCTAGTGGGGCACCCACCTTGTAACCTCCTGCTTTCCCCCAACAAGAATGTCTCCCTTGCTGGAGGGTGGGACCCAGCTATTTAGAGTTGTCTGTTGCAGGAAGTCTGGGAGGTGAGTCACTGCAAAGCAGGCCCAGTTAAAAGTGCTGATGGGACTTGCCTCCTGCTGCCCCTGATGGTCCCAGGCCTGGAGGAGAGAGGGTGAGCCAGGGAGCTGCCCTGTAATCTGGCGCAGCAGTTCTCCAGCGAGAGGCTTGTTCAGACGGGAGTGCTGGGCCTCGCCCCCAGACCTTCTGATTCAGCAGGGCTGGGTGTGCTGGAATCAGTACATTTAATGCTCTGCTGAGCATCAGGCGAGAAAGTCACTTTGAGAAAGGCTGGTTTGGGGATGGGGTGGCTGGAGTTTAAACTCCTCCCTGGGCTGCAAAGACCCTCTAGTTCTGGAGGGAAGTTCTGCAGGCGAGGATCTTCCTTCCAGATGAATTTGGAAAATCGTTATCTGGACCGCTGGAAGAGCAAGAAGGGTTTGGTAGAGTGGGGCTGGATGAGAGACTGTCCTACACTGAGGGCTTAGATTCTGAAATTTAATCCTCCCACTGACCTTGCAGGGGGGTTATTATTATCCCCATCTGCCAGGTAGTACAGAAGGGAGGAATCCAAATCCAGACGTGATTCCTCTTCCCACCCCACCCCACTCTGGCAGGAGGGGAGGAGAGAGGTGGAGACCAGGCTCCCTCCAAAAGTAGGATGGAAAGGCAGGCCATTGCTTTCATAGGCTCCCAGGCCACGGCTAAAGGCAGGACTTCGTCAACGTGACGGCCTCCTCCCACCTAGGAGGTCTGTAAAAAATGGAAAAGAAATCCCAACCCTGGAGAGACAGGCCCTTCCCACCAGCTGTGGCCGGTGTCTGCCGGGCCAGCCAAGAAGACAACTGGGAAGGTCTGGAACTGGAACCCCTGTGCTCAGCCTGTTCTCATCTGTTATCCTCGACGCCGCCTAGTGGTCTGGATGCAACACTGCGCCTCCAAGCTGCCGGAGCCTCCAGCGTCCCGTGTTCCTGCTACCCTACCAGCTAATCCTTTTTCTTCCAGGCTTTTCTCCCCACCTAAGGTTAACACTCCAAGCCTAAAAGGCCTCACAAGGATCATAGCTCCACTTCCCCACACACCTGCTACCGTGTGGAGTAGGAAATTGAAGCTCAGGGATGTGAAGTAACTCATAAACCCAGCACCATGTTCACCTACGTCCCCTGATCCTCACCAGCTACCCAGCCCTGTTCAGATGCCAGACCAGCTAGGTTCCACTTACATTTGCCATGGATGTGAGTTTGAGTGGGAAGGGGGTTGAGAACCCAATGAACCTTCAGCGTATCAGGCCCTTTACACATACTCTCCCTTCATCTCCATAGCAGCCTTTGCGGGTGGGCGTCGCTGTGCCCATGTAACACTGGGCTCAGCAATCTAAATGACTCACTCAAGGGCCACACAGGGGGCTCCCCTTACCTCTTCCAAACATCAGGTTTAGAGAGAAATCACAGTAAAAAGGAACATGTCAGGCAGCCCTAAAAGGTTTGGGGTTGGACTGTGGTTGGGAAGCGGACAGCTTTTTTCTGCTTGTTCCACTTTCAGGATGTGGGTTTTGTGGGCCTGGCACACCGTGAGCCTCTGGCCTCTTCCGTTATCAGCTGCCCAGAGAGGCTCTGTCTGTTACCTGCTCTAGGTCCCCCAGGTTCCCCAGGAAGGTGAGGGCGAGGGCGTGCTGGGCTAGGGGATGCACAGTCTAGCAGGCTGGCCCAGAGGGTGCCTGTGACCTGGCTTCAGTGAGAACTGCGTGGGACACGACCCCTCCCCCTTCTCCGCCACTTCCCCTTACCCGTGTTTTTGGCTGTTGGTACCCCCTCCTCCCTTAGCTGGGAGCAGCGGGTGTGGAATTTAACTCCAGGGTGAAGTTTGAAATTTCACATCCCAGCCTGGGAGAGGGCCCCACGGTTTTCTCCTCACTCCTGGAAACGTGAAAGGAGCCTTTGTGGGCTTGATGGAGGAGGGAGGTGAGCTGCAGCCTGAAAACTAACTTTTTCCATGACTCAGCTCTCCTGGTACCGGGTGGGCACAGGAGGTGCGACGACCCAGAAGGGCAGGCTGGAGCCACCTTCCAGCCCAGAGCCGCAGCTCATGCTTAGAGGTGGGCCCCCAAGAGAGCCAGCCCTGTGACCCGCAAGGGAACTTGCTGGCCCGTGATGGGCCACCATGCTGTAACCGCCCCTTTCCCCCAGGGCTGAGTCCCATCTTTTTTTTTTTTTTTTTTTTTTTTTTTTACCAGGTTACACGTATTTGTTTTTTTTTTTTAAAGTATTGTTGATTTACAGGGTTTCAGGTGTACAGCAAAGTGATTCAGTTACTATATATGTATATTCTTTTTCAGATTCTTTTCCATTATAGGTTATTACAAGATATTGACTATAGTTCCCCGTGCTCTATAGTAGGTCCTTGTTTTTTTTATCTGTTTTATATATAGTCGTGTGTATCTGTTAATCCCAAATTCCCAATTTATCCCTCCCCCCACTCCCACTGCATCCCCAGTGCCAAGCACACGGATGCCCTTTCCTAGTCCTTTTACCAGGAACTTTCCTTATCACCATCTCAACTGAGAGCTGGAGAGACAAACAGGTCTCAAGCCTTGCCTTCTACTTATCTGAGGCTTACAGAGTTAAGAAAGTCACTTAAGATCACGTAGCCCAGAGATGGAGGTGGGATTTGAACCCCGGTCAAATGCTCGGCTCTGTCTGCTTTATCCATGGATATCTTCCAGAACGTACAGGACGGCCTGGGGACCTTGTCAAAATGCAGATTCTTGGGCTCCCACCAGCATCCTAGGGTGGGAGTCCAGGAATGTGCATGTGGGCCAGTGTTCGAGAGCCCGCCAGCGCTGCCTCTTCTTGGCCCCTGGTTACTCACAGCCCCTGCACGAAGCCTCCCTCGCCTCTTCCACCAGCAGGCAAGCTCTTCCCTCCTTTATACTTAGGATGTGTCACGACACTGAGCCCTCCCCCTCGGGTTGCTCTGGGCTGGTGGCTGCACAGATACCTAAGAGGGAAGAAAACGGAAGCTAGAGGAGCAGGGTGTACCTTCAGGTGGCCAGTCCGTCAACCAACGGCCATGGCGTCTCTCCCTGGGCCACCACCACGGGGTTGGGGGGTAAGGCAGGATGGGTCAGAGAGGAGGCGTAGGGTGATGATTCTGGCTTTGGAATTGGGAAGCTCCGGTTCAGATCCCAGCTTTGCCCCTCCCCCCTCCCATCTCCAGCTTCCTCATTTGCAAGGGGAAGATATTAATGAGGATGGGATTAGCTACTCATCAAACCCCATACCGAGAGCTCAGTAAATGCCAGCTATCGTTTTTACGGTGCCGTGATGCCTGCTTGCTGAGGACCCAGTTC